TGGAGGTACAGTGGTTTTTTTCTTCATTATATCAGTTTGAAAATTAAGTTTCTGCAAACTGTTGACACTAATACTGGTTTGCAGCTTCTGTTGATTTTGGCCTCTGTGTGTTATATTTACTGAAATAAAACTTTTCCTCACCAAGGTATGAAGAAGAAAAGTTTAGAAAGAAACAGAAAAGGTATATTCATCTTTTGATTAGGGTTGCATCTACATAAGACAATTTGCACTGCAACTAACTCCCAGTTGATTGGCTTGCATAAAGGAATAAGCATTGGTAAATATAAACATGCACTAGTGCCCAAGTGTTTATGCATGACAGCAACTATACTGTACTTGGAGGCAGTATGGAATCTCTTAAGAACTCACCCTGGGTGTTCAGACAGCTATTTGTAAATAGTTTCTATTACATTTTTATGTGAGATGCTCACTATTAAGGGGATACATGGGTTCTCAACTTGAAGTCTTTAAGAGGCAGAAGTAGTGCTTCTGTATGAACCCATTAAAGCAAATGTCGTTGTTTCTAACAGGAATTATCTCTGGAGATGAGCTGTATTTAGTCCTAAGCTGTAGCTATGCATTAGCAGAGATGCAACTCCGTAAGAAGTTTTAATACTGAGTCTTGTATTTTTGGTATTTGCTACCTTTTTAGTTATTAACTTGCATAGATGCAATCTAAATTAGTATTTTAGTGCTGTTTGTATTTGCAGTGCCTACATTCCTTCCTAATAAATACTAGATTTCCACTTTGTTAATTTCCAGTCTCCTGCTAACTATTCAAGCTATTCCACAGCTGATTAATTTTTTGAATTGACGTGTTATTTTTTCACTCACTAACATATAGACTGAAAGATTTTGCTACTAACGTAGGAGTTTTTTTAATTACTTTTCCTTTGTGTGCCTAACTATTAAGAAAAGGCTTATTGTCTAAATTGGGTAGGGGAACACTGAGATTGAAGTAAAAGGAATTTAAATTATTTCTTGAAGCTCACATGTAAATCTAGTCATGTGTTGAACATTCTTCAGGAATTACTCCAATAAAGGGACAATTTAAAAAAATCTCCAGTAGAACAAGCACTTTTTAGTGTCCTGTTGACAACTTCACCTGTACTACCATCACTTTTGTAAAAAGTAGTATGTACTTAAGTGAAAATTAGATATAGAGATCACAGGCAGAATTGGATACTGAGCCTTCAATCAGGTAGAAAGCAGCTCCTTTTTATGGATTCGTGGCCCAAAGGAGCTGTCACTGCTTCTGTCATTTTGAAAAACTGGCTGGTTATAGTTTGACAGACTGGACAGGTATGTTAGGCAGATTGTTAGAGATACTCTCACTTTAGAACTGCTGTTGGTTTTAAAATTAATTTACCTCCATGCACAACTTACTTGCCAAAAGATGTTATCAAGACTGTAGCTTGTTCTTACTGTAAAGAGGAAAAGTACATTTTATGCAGGGCTTCCAATCCAATGATCCCCTGGTTTCTGCAAAGCAGCATTTTGTTTGCTGGTCCCAAGGCAGATAGTAAGAAATAAGGTACAAAATAAAACCCACTTTTATCAGCATGATGGTGAATTTTTCCAGGGTAATTGCAAGAGTTTTAGAACATAACAGAAAAATTATTGCAGTTAAGGAGCCTCTTCACTTTTGTTAATTCAACTAGTGCTGTTATCTTTAATGTTATAGTAATTAAGCCAAGAAGGTAATTCAGTGCTTATGAATTCATCAGTGGCAGTGCTTGCCAGTATTGTCATGTTACCTGTACTGTTTCTGCTTGCATTTGTTGTTATGAGCACAGGCCATGCTTTTTTCTTCTGTAGTCAGACTTGACTTGCACTTTTTAAATGCTTCCCCTCAAGTTCTGTAGTTACTTAAATGATTTCCTAACAATTTTAATTAATTTCTAGGGGGTGGTAGGAAAATAGATATTTAAAAGAACCCAACATCATGACTACATTAAATAAAAACCTTAATTTAATATTTATTTACTAAAACTATTCCCATATAAAAGCTTTGTGTTTTCCTGTTAAGGTTAATATTTTTTCTTAATAAGATGAGCTGTCAAACTGTGCTAACATAGTTTAATCTTACTACTTTCTTTGCTAAGCAGAGTTGACCAAGAGCTGAATGGAAAACAAGAGCAGAAAAGTGAACAGTAAATTTGGAGTCCAAGCAAGACTGAAGAATACGCCGATGGAACGATGCTGTTTGTGCTCCATTACAGTGCATTCTCTGTGTGTATGTATTATATAATCTGTTGCAAAAGGTGCTTTGGACTAGCACACAATGAACTGCTTACTGCTGTATTGGTTTGTCTTGACTTTATTTGCTGTTTATGTAATCGTTTTATACTGCTAAATGGCAAAGAACCCTGTTTTCAGAGGATGTTCTTGCAACTGTTTATCTAAATGATGCATGTTCTTCAGTAAAATATTTATATACCTAAATGTTAAAGGAAAGAGATAATATATATATTTTTATGACTGAACAATATATTGTGTGTACCTGCTGAAGGAATTCATTTGCAGGTAGACAAGGCCATAAGTTACTTGTTATTGTATAAATCTGTTTTGCTGTAAATGGTCAAGTGCATTTCTTTGTTGTCATGAAAACTTGTTTGGATATTAACAATCAAATTAACTTGGCTTTCACAAATACAGAGATCGTTATTTTTGTTCATTTACCTTACACCAGCTCACTCCTTTACCTCACCAAAGTGAGCTTCAACTTTGGTGTCTTTCAGTCCATCACTCTGGATGCAGAGCTGCAGTTCTGTGGTGGCAGTTTGTTGGCCAGGAGGTTTAAACCTAAGCCACAAAAGCTGAACTGTGACTGGTAAGATACCAGACCTTTTTCAGCTGAAATTGTGAATTTAGATTCTGCTTCAGTATGTCAAGACTGTCTCAGCTAGCAGTAGGAAGTGAGTTCGTTGCAGTTCTTTGTGGATGAATCCTGGTTGTTACTGGTGGGAACTCTGGTCATGCTCTGTAGAACTGGGGAGCTACACAGGTATTCTAGGCACAATACCATTTTCTGGGCAGAAATATGAGAAGTCTTACGCTGCCTGTGTCATTCCTGTAAATGAAACCTCCATTTCTAAACCTGTTAGGCACATGTTGCCAGCACTAATTTAGTTTTTAAGAAGTGTTTTAAAGGTTGGGGTGTTTTCACTCCCCGCAGTGATGGTAAATCTGTGTCTGCAAGAGGTCTTCTTGGACACGTAACTAGTGTGTCTAGGCTTACTGGGACAACAGTAATGCACTGGTTGATACCTTGTAAAAGTTTGTAACATCTTTTTATAAACATTGCATTTTCCGTGCAAGGGCAGGTGTACGCAAATAAATTCATTCAGGAGTTGAGCAATATAATATTGTAGCAAGTATATTAAATCTTTGCTTTTGGTGTTTACTGTGCTCACAATTTTGTCTTAATGCTACAAAAATATCACTTTTGAACTATATTTAATGTTACTTAGTTACCTTATTAAAAAAAAAAAAGTTATGTTCAACCAGATTATTACATGACACTGATAAACAGCAGTAGTGAGATATTCCCTGGTCAAGACTTACCAAATAACAATTAATCCACTGTATCCAGTGATACCTGCATGGACTCTGAGAGCATATGGATGTCAGGTGAGGGAAAAGTGCTCATGTCTCTGGAGGTTTACTTAAGTCTGCAGTTCAGATACTTTCATCTCAAGATCTAAGTCCTTTTGTTGCAGTAGTTGCTGTATCAGAGTTTCAAGGAGAGTGATAGGCAGGATGTGTTCACACAACAGACAATATCAATGCCAAGCTGCCTTGCATCCACGCCATCAGGTTTGGATCTTGCTCTGAAGCAGAACACAAATGCACTTTCTTTGGGGCTGTCTTATCTCCTGCCTCAGTTTTGATGTTGCTGTAAAGTTCAAGTCAGTACATGGAGCACTTGCAGCCTGCTCACTTCTCATACTTTCAGTGTGGTCTGTACAACCGTGCAAATCTGATTTTTACTGGGTTTGCATGTGCTCTAAGCTAAAAAGGAAGCATTCTGATTATCTCATTTCCATTTTTTCCTAATGGATAAAAGGGTTAGTCTCAGTAAAATTATATTCTTAATGGAGGGAATGCAGTTCTCTGTGTCCTGTGGCTTCCTGTGTGCATAGTGCAGTACAGTGCATGTGTATATTCCACATTTTCCAAATGATGGGATTGTTATTGTGTTTCCTGGTGGCCAAGGATTCTACAGTTTCATGCTGCAGTAGTATGATTTCTGTTGGAAATGTGTATGTGCTTATAAATGGTTTATTTCTCTAGTATAAGTTGTTCTGAATGAGTATACAGCACAGCAGTTGTTCTGTCCCTAAAGATATGCAGCTTGAGAAAGAAACGTACTAAAGAATTATTCCCTTCTGCCTCCTTGCAGCTCATCATTTAGTGGTGAGGTGGATGTTTACAAAAAGCAAAGTGGTCCCAAAGCTATGGATAATGTTTTGTCAAACTTAACTTTTTTGAAATCTATAATATAATGTAATATATTTTAATATTTAAAAACCTGAGAAGTTGGAATGTCATACTTAAATAAAAATTATTTCAAAACTTGAATCACTTTGTGATAAGATAAAGTATTGTAGGGAATTCACCTTTCAATGGCACTTCCTTCTAAAAGTATGAGTGATTTTGCTAGAATTTGGTGAGCCCTGTCAAGAAAAAAATTCATGAGTCACTGATTTATGTCTGATTTGGAGGTTCTTTAGTTATATATGTAGTAATAAGTCATTACCCATCTCATTATTGCTGTGCACAGCTGAAATAGAGATATCTGGGCCAATGGCCTCTCAATGTGACATTTCTGATGATTTCTGCAACGGGGTAAACTCAGAAGTGACAAAGAGATTCTGGAGAAAGTGTCATTAAAAACTGTTGAGTAGACTCTGGATTTGCTTGAATGTTCTTGATCTGTGTAATATGGCAGAGCCATGTTCTGATGGAGGGTAATGGGAAAGGATTTAGTGCTGAAGCAGATTTAAGAACTTTTATTCCAAAAAGGTAGAACTAGTTAGAACAATATATAACCTTGTTCATAGCAACACCATTTGGCATACTTTTTTCCTTTACTGTCAGTAAAGAAGTGAAGAACAGTTGCTGTGAGGAACACTGTACTGAGAGACAGCAGCCCCACTCCAAATCGAGTCCACGAGGATACTGGAGCCTGTGTCTGTTCCAGCAGCTTTGTGCATCATACCCTAAGAGCTCTAATGACAGTGTAAAACTTTCAGCAGTTAATTGTGTCACACTTCAAGGTAAGATTACATGTGCTAGTAATGGAATCTTTTATGAAGGACCTCAAAGTGTCATGGGCAGGAGAAGGTGTTGGTGGTGCCTGGTCATGTCAGCTTCACTGATTCGTCTGCTGAAATGTCTGTAGATGACTGAAAAATATTGAAGCACATTGTGAATAGGCACTTTATTAACTAAATCTGTCACAAGGTGGAAAGTTTCTTGCTAAAAAGCGTATTTCTTTCAGTGCCAAATTTTTGTCAGTGTATCCTGCAGATTTATGCACTACTTAGTATCTAAAAAGATGGTTTAAATTCATGTCTTCTCAAAAGCTGTTGTCTTTGAAAATGACTTGAATTCTCAAGTCATTCCAGTCTCCTTCAAAAACCTCATATGAGGAATGGAGAGGAGAGGGATAACAGCTTGCAAGCTTTTTGTAACCACAGAAGCCTTACAAATCTTGCAGTCAAAATTCTCACTCAGTCCTTATGGATGCAGGTCATTCTCAAGAGAATTTGTTTCACTGACTGCTTGTCAGAAACATTTGAAACAAGTGCTTTAATTATACTTTTTAAGGACACCTTTTAGTCAGAGTAACACTCTGAAAGGTAAGGAATATTTAAATATTCATATTCTGAAAGACATCTTGCAGCTTTCCTAGCTTCAAAATTCTGTGTTGAACTACACTGTTTCTTTTATCACATCTCATTACCCATATTAAACTAACAGGAAGAAAGCATTTGTGAGGAGGGTGCACTCATGTTAGTTTTTCGTCATTCCCTTCAAGCATGACTGAGATCAGTGAAATTAAAGCCATTCTTTGCTCAACTAGATTTTTTTTTCAGTTTTGCAATTTGAACTGCCCAGATTACTCTGATTTACATGAATTTTTTTAGTATTGAAAATGATCTGAAGAGAAGCTATCAAGAGTGCTTTCCGCAAGTCCTTACCTTACTCTAGCTTGTTCAACTGCTAGTTAATACTGGTAAGATTGAATTCCAGGTTAATAATAACAAATAAACAATCACGGAGGACAGATGCTTAGTTTACCAGTGGCGCTGCAGTTCTGCAATGTTTCTTTTCATTAACAAAACCTTTTTATTAACAAGCAAGACCTGAGCAGTAAGGTGCTCTAATGGTTGAGTGGTACACTGCAGGGTTAAGATAGAATGATTACGCTGCCAATTAGTGTCTGTAAACCTTAGTGTGGGTGATAACGGGAAACGTGCAGTGTTCAGCCAAGTGAAGCTGCAGTAATCATGCAAAAGCACCGGTTGTGAGTCATGGATAATAGAGCGGGCTTCATCGGGCTAGTAACACTTCACAGATGTGACTGTTTTCCTTTGTCCCTCTAATAGAAGAAATGTAAGTAGAAGACTCTTCACCTACCTCTTAAGAACATATTTTCTTTTTAAACGAGCTTGTTCTCTGGCTGCAGGCCGTGGCGGGCAGTGCGCTGTGCGATTGCTGAGGGCGGCTGCCCGGCGCGGGCCTGCGCGGGAGCGCTCCGTGCGCCCGGGCCCGCCCGTTCCGCTTCCGGCCCGGGCGGGGCCGCGCTTCCGGCCGCGCGCGGTGCCCGGCTCCCGCCCGGAATGGCTCCGGCCGGGCTGGCTCCCGGAGCCGGGCCGGGCTGTCGGTTGGGCGGTCCCGCCGGCGGGAGCGCGCCCGCGGGTCGGGCGGTGTTGCGGGGTTGTTTTTTACGCTGTGTGTGCCCGACGGGCTGGGCTGCGGGGCGTGCAGGGTTTTATTGTCACCTTTGTTTGTTTCCGATGAGAGCGAGGACAGCCCGGGCGCGCAGCCGTGGATGAGCAGGACGTGTCCAGCGCTCCCAGCAAACCATGGCGTATCAGCTCTATAGGAACACCACGCTGGGCAACAGCCTGCAGGAGAGTCTGGACGAGCTCATACAGGTTGGGGCTGGGGTCTGGGCCAGTAGCTTAATAAAGGCAGAAGTTTTTATCCAAACGGCTTTGTCGTTCCTGTGTCACGGTACTTACGGCCAAGGTTTGGGAAACTTCCTGATTGAAATCGTAAGGGTTTGGTGCTCCATTCACTTGTGGTGTTTTTTTCTTTACATTCTAGGTAAAGAAATGTGTTTTCTGTAAGTGGCATAATCTCATGTGGCTCAGTAAATTAACAGCCAGCTTAACTGGAACATTGGAGTCAATTTGCTGTTCCTCTGGTTATTTCCAGTAAATATTTATTATGAGAGATCTTTGTGTGATACAGGATTGAAATACAAAAATGGAAATAAATACAGGAACATAATTTTTTTGTAGATTGTTCTTCTAGAGGTCTGCTTCATTGAAGTGAACTTTGTTTTGATGTTTTTAACTTAAACTGCATGCTTGAGCTTACTTTGAAACAACTCAAAACTTTTTTCTTTTCAACTACTTCAGTCACAGCAAATCACACCTCAGTTGGCCCTTCAGGTGCTCCTTCAGTTTGATAAAGCTATAAATTCAGCACTGGCACAGCGAGTCAGGAACAGAGTCAATTTCAGGGTAAGGAAATGATATCTTAAAGTTTTACATGAGATACAGCAACTAAGTGTTGATGCAGAATGTCATTTGAAGCTGTGTGCTCTAATCAAGAGCTTAAGAGGGTTGGTTTTGGCTCTGATAATGACTGTTTAACTGTACATTGTGTATGCAGCTGTAAGGCTCGTTACCTTGTTCTGCCAGGGATCTTTTGAATGAATGCAGAAATCAGATGCTGAAAACAGGGAAGAGGGAGTTGCTTTTTTGGTGGATAACATTGCCATCCTCAGTGTTTTGCAGATGAGGAGGGAGACTTCTGCTTCTCACAGCTGTCCCTAGCAAAAGTGAGATGAGGCCAGATTTTCAGCCACATGGGTAATGTGAAGAGAGACTAGAGAGTTTTAGATCCACTCTTTTCACTGGATCATTTTGTAGCTATTTTCTGTAGGTATCATAGAAAAATAAGTTGGAAAATAAGTGTTGCCAGCCAGCCACCCTAATTGATCCTAGATAGCCAGCAAGTTGTTGAATGTCAACTTGAATGTAATGCTAAGGAAAAAAGCACAAAATCCACATTCATGTTAACTTTTGTTGTAATACTTCTCTGCAGTCTATGTAGAACACATTCATGATGTGGGTTGCTAAAAGACTAGATTTTTAAACAATACAGAGATGTTAAAAATAGCATAATTTCTCTAGCACACCTAAATTGTTTTGTATATGTAGCATGATATAAAAAACAGTTTAGCATGTGTTTAGTGAATAAACTTTAAAAATGTTACTTGGAGCTTAAGTTCTAAGTTCAAGAATGTCAATTTAAAATATGGAAAAGTGAAGGTCAGAAGTTTTCCATATTGTCATCCTCAGTAATACTTCAAATAGGAGGGATACCCCTTTCTGTCACATATGTCAGTTTTGTCATGATTCTTTACTTAAGCTACCACTTAGTTTAAGCAATTGCTGAATTCACATATTGTTATGATCACTGCTGTATCTGATTTTTCTAATGGCCCAATATTTTAAGAAATGTTTCCTGCTACTGATCCTTTGTATACATTAGAAAAATTGTAAAACTTCTTTGCCTACCTGAGGAGCCTCCCCTTGGATATCCTGTAACTCCATGGTCTTGAGAATTTCAGCCACTGGAGGGCATTTAAACTCCAGTTTTCCTCAGAGCTGCTTGCTTGCCAGTTTCTATGTGTTCAGGTCCACTGTTGGCTTTGTAGCAATCTGTTCTAGAAGGGACATAGTTCAGTAGATACTCATCATTTTCTGTTGCTTTTGAGATGCATCCTACAGAAAATGTCTCTTGTGTTTTTATAGGGGTCTCTGAACACATACAGGTTCTGTGACAATGTATGGACATTTGTACTGAATGACGTGGAGTTTAGGGAGGTCACCGAACTTGTGAAAGTGGATAAAGTGAAAATTGTAGCATGTGATGGAAAAAGTAAGTATGAAATATGACATAACTAGGCTGAGACATGAGACTTGATTGTTTTTAGAAAGCTTTGTCTAAATGTCTTACTAAAGCCAGGTAGACTGTATGACACAGACGGAAGTAGGGCTTTGTATTCCCTTTTACATCTGATGAGAGATGAAACAAAAGCCAGCTAAATGCTTCCCTGAGTCACAGGCACTGAGGTAGAACCGTGTTAGGGACTGCTGTGCACCTGTTGCTGGGAAGTATATAATACTAGAGCAATTAGAAGTCAGAAGTAATCTTTATTTTCTGTGTAGTGAATTTTCTAGTACTAACTTATTTGTTGGGATAGCACCGTGTTTTACTGAATCCAAAGAGTGCTTCAGCTGTCTGAGCAAGGAATTGTCTGAGAAAGTAATATGCAGCACTTTCTGGAGAGAAGCATGGAAAGGGACTGATCATACTCAATTCCTGTGATGCAGATGTGAGTTAATCCATACTAGAAAGCACCACAGAATGACAGTGGAAGAAATACCTGTAGCATTTCTTCATTTCACCTTATAGGGCATGAATATAATGTTACCTTTTTTTTAATTACAAGAGATACTGTTTTTTTTTTTTTGTTCAAAATAATTTCTGTAATAAACTTTTATTTAAAAACTTTTGAAAGAGTGATCATTGGAAAACTTTGTTTAAAACTAGCATTAACATACCCTATTTCCCCAAAATTTTCTAAGTGTGTTTACAGCAATGTTGCAAATGAAAAAGTCTTTCAGTTACAGGGTTCCAAGTGTGGTTGCACTGTTAGGTATTGCAAGAAATGTCTGTTGCAGAATGCTGGAGGAGGACATCAGCAAAAGCTTAGCAGCTCTTGCTGGGCAGCATGTTTGTGTGTTTGTGACTGCATCTTCCTGATTATAAATAACTCTGCTACGTGCCCTGCCCTTCACTGCACGCTGCAGATGGTAAGTAACCATTTTTGAAATGAAAAGAACAGACAAGTTCCTTTTATTTCAATTGCACAATAAGTATCTGTTTTTGTCTTAAGGGATGCAAATGTGTATCTGTACCATGGTCTTCTGTTGTTCTACATCAGACTCAATCTTCTAGGTTGAAACTTTTTTTGTTCTCTAATAATCATGTGGTAAACGGAATTTCAACTCATACAGGTATAAAAATTTGCTCTTCTGACCTCCAACTAGTAATATTTTCCTGTCTCTAGACAGACTTCTCCGTTTCGAGTTCCCTGTAGCCTTTTGACTCCTAATGCAAATAATTTTATCTTTTATTTTGTTCCAATTAAGTGTGCATTAGAACCATAGAATGGCCAGGGTTTGAAGGGACATTAAGGATCATCTCATTCCAGCCCCCTGCCATGGACAGGGACATTTTCCACTATCTTGGGTTGCTCCAAGCCCTGTCCAACTTGGCCTTGAGCAATTCCAGGAATGGGGCAGCCACAGCTTCTCTGGGCAACCTGTTCTAGTGTCTCATCATCCTCACAGGGAAAAAATTCCTCCTATTATCTAAACCTACCCTCACTCAGTTTGAAGGCATTTCCCCTTGTCCTGTCACTCCAGGCTTTAACTGTATTTCTGGGATGGTGTTTGTGCTGGATCTGCTCCCTCTGTGGAGGTTTTCTGTTCATGGAAGGAGCAGGGAGCAAAGGGAAGTTAAGCAGTCTGGTGCCAGGGTTCTTTCTGCTTTTTGTTGCTTTGCTCTCCACAACTTTCTTTCCACTTGCTATTTTTTGCTTTGAATTTCAGCTAATCCTGCCAAGTTCATGTGATTAATGTACTTTGTGGTCTTGGAAGATTGAATTTACAACTAAAAGCATCAGCTGCACTTCTGCTGTACTAAAGTATTGTAATATCTAGTGGAAAACACATAATTTCACTTGCTGGAGCATCAGCACGCTTGCTGCTGCGTGTCTGGTTCTTCTTTGCCTTGTAGCGTTCCAGACTTACTCATTTATTTATTTCATTGTTGATTTTCTTTAGAAGGATCATAATTGCTTCCACTTCTCGGCAGCAGAGAGAAAGTAAAATATACCTTTGCACCTTGACATTGAACTGGAATAGATGTTTCTATTTAGAAAGTAAATTAACTTAAAGAAAGTGAAGGGAAGAGTAAATACCAGTGCAGAACTGGCTGTGGATGACTGCCTGTTTAAACATGGCTTACAAGAAAAAGGATTTTGTCAATTCCATAGGTGTGCAAACCAGGATGTTACCTGATGTAACCTGTTTGCTCAGTCAAGGATGTTAATACCTGACTTCAAACGTTATCATAGAGGCACAAATTTAAAGTGCAGAGCAGGAAGAATTTATGATGAATTTCCAGAAGACAAGTTTAATCAGGGTCATTATGTACGTCTGCATGATGACTAGGCACAGTGAGGTAGAGGTTACTCAAAGCACAGATACTTGTCTTTAAGGATCTTGGCAGCTTAGGGGGTAGGATTTCAGTCAAGGTCCTACTGACCTGGGTTTGCTTCTTTGTAGTCAAAAATTTTGGGTGGGGAGGAAAGTAGGAGCATGTTACAAAGCACTTTAGTAAGACTGTACTAGGAGACGTGAGCTTTGTCTTTGCTGTAACCTACAGGGTGGTTTTTGTTGGGATTAGCCATTGTGGACTAGGAGGTAGTAATTTACAGATATGTTAATATATGGGTTTGCATCTTGTGCTAAAAGAACCTGCATCATTCAAGGAAGTGGAATATTGTTCACAGAGGCTAGTTAACATTTAATGGTCACTGCTGTTGCAGTCAGAAGAAAAAGAACACCCTAACCCTGCTCCCTGAATCAGTTTTACTCATGACTGCAGATACCTTTATTTTGTTCATGTTGTTCATGTTTACTTTTTGTTTCTTTAGAATTTATTACCTGTTTTCCTCCAAATTCATTTTCATTGACCCATCTCTTTATTATAGGGTATCTCAGAGATGATCATATAAAGTATCAAATGTCAAGCAAGAAGGAAATAGATCCTCCTAACTAAAGCTAAAAAGACCTGTTGTGTAAGTATGTAATAAGCCACATTGTTCTTGTAAAAATAAAGTGAAAACCATTGGGAAATAAAACATAAAAAGACAGGTTTAAACCAGAAAAATAAATCTGTTGTTACATCTCAGAATTATAGTTTCATCTGCCTCCCGTGCACTTCTTGAAAGGTAGATTTGCAGCATATTACCTCCTTAAATAACTGGTGGCTTATCTGGAGTTCAAGTTGTTGGTTAACAATTGTAGACAGAAGTATCAGAAGTAGATTTTTTACTACATAAAGTTAATATTTCTGATATGACTTCCAATTGGACAGCCCATGATTTTACTGATGAATTTCCTATGGGGTTTAACTGATTTTTGGAGGTGGTCCTATAATCTGATGTGATTCTGTTACTTTGGGCTGGTCCTACTCTATTCCAAATTCATTCTTTTCTCATTTCTACAACTAACTGGCAAGTTACATGATCTCTCTGTGCTCTGTTGCCAGCTTTCTAAGATGCCAGCTATCTGATTTCTAACATCCTTTGAGATCTCTGGAAGGCAAAGTTCTATATTAGAGTTGAGTGGTGGTTTTTACTGCCATTTCTAATGGCAGAGACATATCACTGCTTTGATGTATGACTGCACTCATAAATATGACATTCCTAATGTCTTTGAAAGGAGGATATGCTGAGAACATTACTTTGTAAGAGTCTTTTTGTCTTAGTTCACCTTAAGCACTTGGGAGTAGGCTCATTCTTTCAGAAGAAATTAGGTCACTGCTAAAAGAAGTGATTTGAAAATAAATTTGCACAAGATAGCCTTTGTTTTTTTCAACCAAATAATCTGAGAGGAATTCTGGAGAGTAACACCATTAGAAACAGGAAATTTCCTCTGGATCAAGTAAATTGGACGTTGAGGTTTGCAGGTTGTTTGCCTCAGCAGGTAATGACACCAGAAGAGTCATTTTCACCCAAAGCAATGATCTCTGAATGGGAGGGCTGCCGAGGCTGTGTTGTTAGATAACTGCTGTCCCTCCAACTGAGTCACCAAGCTGCTTTATGGTATGCTGGCTTCACTTGATGCCTTCCTATTCTGTGAGCAAGCTCTTTCAAATCTGCATAAATGCTTAGATTCTCTGTCTTCAGGTCTAATCAGGAAGGGCAAAGACTGCAATGAGTAACATGAAAAGAAAAAATATTTTGACGTTGCTGAAAGGGTTACCATGGAACAGATATGAAGTGGCACTTTGCACCCCCAATGTTGTCTCTGCCTCTCTGTTTATAACATTTTTGTGTCTGGCAACAAATGAAGCACTGTTATTACAGCGTGTATGAGCAATACTTCATGTTTCTGAGAGAAGGAACAGCTGAAGAAGTTCAACAAAGTAAAGGGGATAAAAATTACTGTTGACAAGTCTGTAAGTAACTTGTAAGTATATATCTTTCTGTACAGGTACATTTGCAAAATAATAGAGAGGACCCTCATTCAGTGATCTTTCACTATTTCAAGCTGGGATTCCTTCCAGCCCCTCAAACACCTTTGTTCTTTAAGAAATAAATTATTTAGTGCTTACAAACATCCATTTCATGGATGGATTTGGGTTTGATGCAATTTCTTACAACTGTTAAGTATGGGCATTTTTCCTCCATTTTCTAAGGGAAAAAGACAACACTGTGCCACAGTTAGAAACATGGTGACCCTTCTCTGCCTGTTTCAGTCCAGAAACCTGAACGTATCCCAGCCCCCAATAAACCCCTTAGCACTAGTTTGCCATTTTGAACTAATATGTATTAATTTAAAGTAAATGAAAGAGTTCTAAGAAGTAAAATCAGGGTAGGCAGCTGTGGTTTGATGCAGTCTTCTATGGTGGGAGACTTGAGTTCTTACCCTAAGTCACCAGAGAAGTTTTGTTTGTTCTAAAAGAATGTACTAGACATGGAGATAATTTCTATTTAATGTTGAATTTGCTGCTGAAACCATTTCAAAAGCATATCTGTTACCATCAGGTTAGCATAAAGTTTTAATCTCTTAAGCAAATGTCTGCTTACCTAAGTTGGAAACAGCTCCCCCCTAGATCAGTAATTCTATTTATTTGCTCTTTTTGCATAAACAAACGCCCAATGATACATTGAGTATTTATGTTTGACAGCTTTTCTTCCCAGTATTTGCTGTTGCTGTCTGTGAAATCACCATGGCGTTTTAAAAATCACTGTTTTACATCTAAGTTCACTTCATCTTCTCATCCTATTTAAATCAATGTTTTAAAGATGTGACTGCAGTCATAACTTCATCTAAATGTAGCCTGGTGTTATGGAATTGCTTCAAATGTTCTTTGTATAATGCTAATTCTCCACTGTAGACCTTAAATTTGTAAAGGTGAGTGTTTACTTACAAGAAATTGACTTGAATAGATTTTTTTTTTAATAAAGACAACGGCATTAATCCCTTAGCATTACAGGTAGTGAAAAGCTGATTGATCCATGGAAAGTGGCAAGCTTTAATACGAGAAGGTGAGAAAAATACATGGGTGAAATACAGAAGTTTGTAAATGTTCCTTTCAGCTACTAGAAACTTTAAAAAACCCAATGTGTTAAGTGATTGGTTTGTTCATTGTCCATTACTGGATATGGTAATTACAGTATCACCAAAATAGCTTTTTTTGGGGGGGCGGGAAGAGAGATGTAGATTTTAGAAAATGATGGTTTAGACACCATTGTGTGCCTGTGTTTCAGACGGAGAAGTGGGTGCACAAAGGTTAACTGGTTTAATGCTGCCTGCTTTTTTGTCAGCAGGAGCACAAACCATTCTCCTCAGAGGACAAAGAACACCGAACCGCTATGTATTTTACTATCTTGGATTTTATTGAAGGTTGTCTTTTAACGATTAACGAGTTTTGATAGAGTAAAAGTTTAAAGTGAGGCAAAACCAGCAGCCAGATGTTCAGCTGAGCAGCTCTGCGGGTGGCTGCCAGGTGCTCTGTGGAAAAGCAAATTAATGATTGTTTCAGCTCTGCCCCTAGCCGGAGCTGGGGGCACCGTGACTCGGGCCTGCCGGAGCAGCCCGGGGGTCCCCTTTGCCCATGGACTCAGAAGGGGCTGCACAAGGCCGCGCCCGCCTCCTCCGGCGGCTCTGGGGGAGAGCGGCGCTCCCGCGCCCTGTGAGGGACCCGCGGCCGGGGCTGAGCCTCCCGCCCTTCCACACCGGCCCTCCCTCCGCCGGGCCGCCCCGTCCGTCTGTCCCTCCGTCCGACCCTCGGCGGGGCCGCAGCCCCACGCCCGCCCGCGGGGCTTCTCCTCGGGGCCGCGCCGAGGCGTGGGCCCCTCAGGGCCCAGGGGATCCACTCCCGCTGTCCCCGAGGCGCCGTCGCTGGACTCGCCCACGGAAGGCAGCAGGTGCTGGCCAGTCTCCGCGGCTCCCCCTCAGAGCCCCCGGCCGTACAGAGCCTTGTGGCGCAGGTACTCCTCGAGACACTGGACGGCCGCATCGTCCACCTCGGGGTCGAACTTGTTGGCCAAGAGGTGGTGTTGCTGCAGCATCCAGGGCACGTCGCCCACCCCGTAGATGCAGATGGAGCGCTGGTGGCGGCCGGTGCAGGGCGGGTAGGGCGCGCCCTTGCTGATGTCCCCCTCCAGGTACTGCCACTTGACCAGGCGGGGAAGGGCGTTCATGTCCGAGAGCTGGAACTTATCGCTGAGGGGCGTGCCCCCCGGCACGCCCGGCATGCGGTTCAGGGTGGCCCAGACGTACTCGTCAGGGCTGTAGGTGTCCTTGGACCACTCGAGGAACTTTTGTGCTGTGGGGTTCTCGAAGACGTACTGCACGAAGTCCCGTGTGAGGGCGTTGTACGCGCTGCCCGTGAACATGGGGTAGCTGTGGGGCGGGGGCTGTTTCTTTTGGGAAGTGCGAGAAATGGTCTCCCCCACCGTGTAGTGGTACTGCCAGCGCTGCTGCTTGGCGGCCGAGGGCCTCTCCGACTCCATGGTGTTCTGGCCCTGCAGCAGCTGCAGCGCCCGCACCATCTCGGCGTTGGTCTTGATGGGGAAGTCGGTGCCGCAGGTGTTGATGAGGTAGCGCCACGGCACGGGGCTCTGCAGGAGGTCCTGCATGCAGTTGAGGTCGGCCTGCACCCGGGACCAGGAGGCATAGACCACGCTTTCCAGGCGGCTGGCCACGAAGACATTGGGGAAGCAGGCAGCAATGGCCCTCACGGCCTCCTGGAAGGCGGCCGGGGCTTTGCTGTCTACATGGACACAGTACACATTCTGGGGGGCGTACACGGACCGCAGGAGCCGCTCAAACATGTCGATTTTGTGGTGGATGATCATGGAGTAGGCGATGGGGAACTCCTCCTCCTCCTGGCTGAGCGGGAACTCGATGTAGCGCCGGGTCTCCTTGAAGGCTCTGCAGTCCTTCGTAATGTTCAGGTACTCGCCGGGCGTCAGCGAAGCCCTTCTGTTCGCCACTTCCAGGTTGTTGAGCTGCGCCTCCTGGATGGCCGTCTGGTCCCCGCGGACGACCCCCGAGCAGTTGATGCCGCGGCTGGGGGAGAGCTCCAGCCCCCGGTAGAGGCGGGAGCGGTCGGCGGGGTCGGGCCGGACGGTGCCGCGCAGAGCCAGGGCGGCGGCGAGCAGCGCCAGCGGCCCGAGCAGCAGCGCCCAGCGCCGCCGCGCCGCCGGGGCCCGCTGCCACCACTGCATCCCGCGCGGGCTCTGCCCTCGCTGCCGGCTGCGCGGCCCTGAGGGAGCCCGAGCCGCTGCCGCACGGAGCAGCCCGGCAGCTGGGCACCTGCTGCCTCTGGGAGGTGGGGAGGCAGTGCCCGGGCGATCCCGGTGTGACCGCAGGTGAACAACAGTCCCCTCCCTCCCCGTGGCGTGGCTCTGTGGTTTTATCAACACTGGGGGTGGTTCTATATCTTCTGTGTCTGTTTAAAAGATGATATTTCATCTTACCCCTGTCCAACACGTAATGCAAGGAAAATTCCTCTAGGATTCAACCCTCTGTAATGCACTTTTTTGAAAGATTTTACTAAATTACTTTGGTGTCTAACCTGCTTTTCCAGTGTTCTGATTGATAGGGAGGATGTGTGCTAAAGTCTTCACAAAAAATTCGATGGGTGTGGGTGTTAACGTCTCCACTAACTTCAAGCAGCAGGTTTGTTAGAGTCCAGACAGCTTGACTCCTGGAACAGGCAAGGGTCTGCACAATCTGAACTTTTGTGGTTTAGGTAATGTGTCAGAGACATGTAGATATGCAAGTTTATAGGTAATAGGTAAGCTAAACTCATGGTGAATCAGCTTGCTGCCTCTCTCCAGAGTTATTTGGATTGGTTATGTGAGAAATACCTAACCCTGCACGAGGCCTGTAAAATTATTTTGCAGGCCCACACCTAAAAATACTTAGGGCTGGCTCTGATCTTCCTTTAATTTTTGGTTATGTAATAAAGTATTAAGCAAAATTAGTGATACTGTCACTGACTACTATTTAAGCAAAATTTTTCCTAGGTATACTTTGTATGTAATTTGCTGTCAAGTACACATCTTGTAGTAAGATACAGTATCCTCTTGTGAATCACTTTTTTCATTTGTGTTCACGTAAGGAATGTTATTTGTGTCAAGTAGTAATGGCTCTTTTCAAAATAACTATTCTTTTAAAAATCAGTGTTTCCTGTGAACTGTGACAGAAATTGAGAAGAAATTACACTTCCACCTTCTTGGCTGTTCAGATTTTTTTTTTACTGTCTCTGCTGGTATTGTGATACTTATCTAAAAATCATAGGATTATGTTTGGTTTATAGTTTTGAGATTTATAGTTTTAAAATTACCAATAAACATTTGGAAAATTTCATGATAGATTTCTCATTATGTATCTTCAGACACCAGAAGTTCAGTGTTCTTTTTATATGGAGTATTTGGCACATACTACAGAGTGGGAAAGTGAACAAAGCACAGGTGGGAAGTGAACAAGGAAGTATTGAGGTTTTAAAATAAATAATATGCAAATATAAGTATATTGTATAGGTACACTTTGTCTGTAAAACTTTAACATGATGAACCTTATGCAGGTTCTGCTTTTTGAAACTGGAAACTGTCTGTTTATAGACTTCCACTTCTGTTTGCTTTTGTTTAATTTCAGCTGAATTACATGTCAAAGTCCTGTACTGTCTAACAGTTCAAACTGTATTGTTACAAGCTGCTGAGATTGCATGCCCACTAGCAGAGTCTTGGGTCAGTTTGATGATAAGATAGAGGTCAAGTTCATCTTTGAAGAAACTGTTGGATGTTAATTTTCCTTTCAGAGTTCTGCTTCATTGCTGGTTTGTGACAAATGGTTTGAAAGCACTACATGCAGTACCTCTGACCCTGATTCAGAAAGGACATGAAAAGGTACCAGGAAAAAGCAGTAAGTAAAATATCAAACCACAATAATTTTTGTAGCATGCATACCAGTTCCTGTTATTTAACTGAGCACTGCCTGATGCTATTCACCCTACAGCTGCAGACTCATTGCTCTGCTCTTTCTGTACCTCTGGTGCACTTTCACTGAAGTCAGAGGATTTCTGCTTTGATCCAAGACAAAATCGCTGGACTGAAGAGCATAAGTGAGTATGGCTTAGAAAAAAGCCAAAGCAGACAATCATAATTGACATATAGTCTATAGGATAGGATAGTATTGGTCACTTGAAATTTTACACAACAGCTGAACACTGCTCATAAAGTATAATGAGTTCTCTCAATTACATTTTGTATAATAAAACAAAAGAGGGCGATAAGGCATTACTCACCTTATACAGATTGCTGAAGAGACAGGCAAGTAAAGAGGATGATGCTGCTGAAGATATTTAAAAGAATTTCCTTTAAACTACTCTTAAGACTGGGACTGTTTCTGACTGTGGTGCCCAACACTCTAAGCTGGACTGTGTCCTTGGGCAAGAAAACCTGTTTTTTTCTTGAAGGATCTAACACAAAGAAAACACAGTGATACTGAGGATCATAAATACATTACCTCATGCTGCATTGTTTCTAGAAAAGGGTTGCTTCATACATCATGGGAAATATAAACAAAACAGAAAATAAAACTCTTTTAGACAGATGATAGAGGAGTTCAAGGCTACAGGAATAAAGAACCAAAAAGAATGGATTTAATTTTGTACATTTCCACCAAGGAAAACCCCATTATAACTGTCCCATTGGAGAGATTGTTTCTTAAGAGATAAGGGACTTCCTGAAATAGACACAAATGTTACTGAGAGAGGTTTTTGTCTTTTACCCTTAAAAGCATTTTAGTTTTATTTCTTGCTTTGTTTTCAGCTGTCTAAATAGTATTCTGAACTTTAGGTGTTTCTGTTCTGTGGTAGAACTTTTATCAATTCATCAATGTTCTGTGCAGTTCGATTTGGTCACAAGTGGAGAGTCTGCCACAACACACAGACACATGCAGAGTGAGGGCTGGCACACAGATCATGTCCAAAGCCTTTGTGTAATGGAGATCATTGCTTTCATGTCTCTGTGGATGCCCAGAAATATTTGAATATGTTTAGACCTACAGCTGGTCTGGTTGCCTGTAGGTAAACAGTTCATGGTGATTGGGAGTGGGGCTGTGGCCCTTGTCCCCAGTGGGCACAGCTGTGAGCAGCAGGTGAGCAGCACTGACAGCAATGAGCCATGGAGTGCCCAGGGGCACTGACCAACCCCCAAAGGGAGCAGAGGCACACAGGGGCAGTGAATCAGCATGAGGGGTGTAAAAGGTTGGGCTGAAGAACAAGAATGGCAGATGCTTGCAGGCTTCTGATGTTGTTCTGTATGGTTTGAAGCTCTCTGGAATTGTGTGGGGATACTCTGTGTATTGTGGCCCTCTTGACTGCGAGGTGTGCTGTGAAGTATGCTGTGACAGTTTGCCCTTGAATGTCCCACAGCTGGCTAAGAATACTTTGGGCTGGGACTTTATCCAGTTCCTGGATGGGTATTGCTGAGTTCAGTAAATTCTCCTTCAATGCTTGGAGGATTCACACAGAGCACTCCTTACCTTCACACTCATAGAATGCATTACAAGTGAAGGAGAAGGAATCAATGGGGGGAAAGTGATTGTCATCTAGAACTGTTGTGGGCTATTCAGTTCTGTCTGAAGTTCCTGACGTGTGCTGCCCTTGTTCTGGCTGCAATTCTGCAAAGAAACCCAAGTATTTAATAACAGCTTGAGTGCCCTGCTTTTTCTGCCATATGTTCACAGCAAAATTAGTATGAAATTACTTTGTAGGGTAAAATGCAGTTGTGGGGTGTGTAGTACCATTTTTTCCTTATTTCAGGTGATCTATTTCCTTCATATTTTCACCCTTTAAGATTCTCCTATACACTTGACACTTCTGCTTCCTTATACAAAGCTAGGAGAAACAGTAGCTGCACTTAAGTCAGAGAAAATCCTGAAGGTTTTTACTGCTTATTGTTTCATTCTTTTCATGCTTATAAGATGTCTCTACAGCTTGTCTGTCTGTGATGTTTTCACACTGCTGTAAACTATCTCCAGGGAAAAAGTTAGCAATAGCAAAAAAGAAGCTTTCTGTACAGCAGGTAAACAGCTGAGGTCTAGAACCACTGAGGTATTTGAGCATCCCACCTCCAAGTAGTCAGTGCCTCAGTATGTGGATCTGTATTCTGGAACAGTTCTGTGCTGCATCTGTGGTGCTGATGCAGCAGACAGCAATTGCATCTTTCCTCTGGCACTATTATGTGCTGGTGTGTCCTGCCCCTGCAGAGGGGGCCAAAGAAGGAGCTGGGTTTTGAGGAGCATTTACTGTCCAAAGACTGAAATATTGATTTAGCTGACTGAAGGTCATGCTCCTCAGTGTGTGCAAATGAGCATGACTGAGCTTATCTTTGTGAACAAAGATGGTTATGGTAGTGCTAGATGTCAGTAAATCAAAGATTGGCATATGTATTTCTACTTACTATTCTTACTAAAAAAGTATACAACACAAAAACTCCCAAAACAAGCCAAAAAACCCAATAGCTTCTAACCTTCTGGTGTGAATTTTCTGCCTACAAAGTGATGCCATTCTCCATGGTTTTGGCACTTGTTTTAGGCAAATAGTGTGCTTTGAAATTCAACAGTGGGAAGGGGAGTAGTAGTTCATTCTTAAAAAGACACAACACTGGCATGTCCCTCTCTTCATGTTATTTTCAGTTTTAGATTTGGATGAAGTCTTTTTTGCTACTTCTCCTTCTTCTGTGTTTCAGCAGTGAGGGTGTTAGAAGTTCAGTTCTAACAGTGGCAATAAATCTGAGTGGGACTGTGTGAACTGAAGAACTCTTTCTCATTGAAATCAGATGGAGAGGAAGAAAAGAAGTGTATTTGTGTTTTACTTCAAATGGATAATTTCATAGTTTTTACCTGAACCTTTGAGCTCAGCTTTGCTCTGATATTAGCTAAAAATGTGCAGTGTCTTAACTTTTCTCGTTGGAATAGTCCATATACCTAAATGAGAGAATTTCAGTGATTTGCTGGTCTTTATGTTACTTCAGTATTGTCTAATTCTGCTATTGTGAATAGCTGTTTCCAGGATATTTCACCCACCTTTTTAAAGCAATTTTGCTTGTTGTCACAAGTAGCTATTAATCACTTAATCTCTGGACTCTGTTGGCCATTGAAAGTCAGAGAGCCAATGTCTTTATGATTATGAAATAAAAATAACTATTTGAATATT